AGAGAGAGAGAGAGAGAGAGAGAGAGAGAGAGAGAGAGTACCCTAATGGATATAATAATTATATACCGTAGTGTGTATACGCTATTATAGTGAAGGGCTGCTGAATAGTGTACAGCTGTGAGGCTGCGCCGCTCCCACACATATAAGCCTGCAGTGCCTGTAAAAGTGGTACATACTATGGGTATTGTGTACATTAGGGTTGCTCAAAAGCTATCGTACTTTGTGTAAGAATAGAGTGACCAACATATAAACTTTAAGCACAATTATTGAATACTCATTTCTACTATTTTATAAGTAATTAGAAATAAATTTTTATTTCTGGAAATTTCGAGAAAAAATATTATAAACATTTTTAAACGATTTCTGTTTCCGTTTATTTCTATTGTCCACAAAATCGCTTTTAAATTACAATAACATTACAAATGAGTGCCACTTGTATTGAGTACACATTTATTGCTGTCATTTGTGTTAATTAATTGTTAATTTATATATTAATTGTGCCGTTATTTGGTTTTATGTCTATTAGTACTGAAAAAATGATTCAATCAAATGTTTGTTTTTTTATTAAAATTTTGAACCATTTTTTGGGTAAATTGTTTGCCATTAAAATATCGACGAATCGTTTGAAACAAACGTTTTTGTGTTTTTCACTCAAAACGGCGTTTAAGTAATTAATTGTTATTTAAATTACATTACGTTTGTATTGAAATTATTTAAATAAATTATTAAAATTATTAATTATTTAATATTTCTTATTAATACACAATTAAATTATATTACATTTTGTTTATTAACCTTAAAAATGTTATTATTTGATAACCAATTTGATTTTCTATTAAATTATTAATACAGTCTGCACCGCATTTATCGGTCCCACATACAACGTAAAACCGCTTATAGCCGAATATTTTTGTTGCACCGGCAGCTCCTATGGGTGTATAACGATATGTGCACCACTAATAGCAGAATCGGTTATAACAGAATACCGCATATAACAGACAGTAAACTAGTGCCGTGCAATGTTAAACAGCTCCACATATAACGGAAAAGGGTTATAGTTATGGTTAAAACTATGTATCCTCGTATTTTTAATAACCATATTGATGAAATAATTTGTAGTGTTTATAAAATTAGTGTTTTAACAATAAAACAGTAATTTTAACATGTTTTTACACATAAATACAGATCTATAATTGTAAAATATGTTAAAATAGGCGTCTTTTTGGCAAAATGTACAAAATTCTATTACCGGGAATAACAGAAAACCGGCTATAACAGAATAGAATTAAACTCACCGAAGCATTCTGCTAAATGCGGTGCAGACTGTATATAAATTCATGTGATTTTTTGAGCGAAATATCTGGTCACCCTAAAAAAATCAGCCGCGGCCGGTTTTTGAGCAACAGTAGTGTACATGATATATAAAATTCACCGCACAATAGGGCTCACATACACTGTATGTATAATGTATGGCTCGTTATAATGCATCGCTCGTATAGTGTAATAAAAAAAGCATAAAGAGCAAAAATATGCCATTTGGAAATGGCGGTTACACTATATAAAATAATAATAACCATCATAATCTGCATATACAGTAGATATTAACATTTACGCTGCCATACACTATATCCATGTAGGTATATATCCGGTACGCATTCACTATAATGAGTGTTCATTATATTATGTTAATTAAGTTAATTGCATTATGGTATATTTCGTAAGAGATAGACAAACAGTTAAAACATTTTTAGTTTATATATTTTTGTGATCAAAAATTATTGGCAATAAAAAAAGTTAGGAATAATTTTGATGTTTAATTTAGGGCTAAAATAATGGCTAAACAGTTATATAATGCAACAAAAAAGGGTCGACGGGAAGGGAGGGGTTGGAAATAGAGAGACAACACATGACAAATAAATGCAAAATTTAATATTTAATATTAATTACTTTGTTTTCCATCGCCATAAGAGGTTGATTGTATGGAGTGTTCACTATTTGGCTTATTATACATGTTATGATTATTCACAAAATTTACAAGAGAATTATTAACACTATTTAACACATTATTATTATTCACATTATGGACCGGAAGGGCACCGAAATCCCTGTCCATACAGTCGGGTCCGGCGATCGGTTCGCTAATCCCAACCGTACGCTGACTAACGGTACGGTCGGCCGCCGACGGGTCGCCACATATATTCACATTTTGTCCATTTTTGGCCGCTTTTCGGCCGGAATTCTGTGCCGAACAGCGTTTTGTGCCATTCCTTCTCACTTTGTGCTCAATGTTTAGCCTGTTTTTGGCCAGACTTAAGGCCGACGCGACGGCTTTGGTGGTCGAGCCCTTCGGTCGGCCCACCGGACGACTACTCGCCAGCCGATCCTTCTTCACTCTCACCGACCGTTTATAGCCATCACTACCGGCGCCGGCGAACGACCTGTGCGTGAATTTATGGCCACTAAAGTGGGCCCTATCGGCACCGGCTATGTTGGCCATCATGTGCGCCAGTCTCGCCGCAGCGGCTTTTGGCACTTTGGCCGGCAGTGGTGTGGCCTTCGGCACAACCCAACCCCTGCGCGACTTGACTCGTTTGAGTTTGTCTTCGCGACCGAACCCTTTGGTGATATACTCGATGTATTTGTCTTTGTTGCGCAAAATGGCCGACAGAGACGACTGGTATGGCAGACAGTATTTGCGCATAATGTCCGTCCTCTTCATGCCGTCGTTGAAATCGCTTATTATCTCCAACTTCTCCGAAATGGTCAGACATTTGCGCTTCTGTTTCGAGTGATAGCCTGTGAGGTAAAAGAGAGACAAGGATTAGGTTATAATGTCTTAGGCGATGGCGTATGCGATGGACACTAACCTCCCAACGGGTGGCCATAAGTCGAGCCAAACGACTGACTGATCAGCGATTGAATTGAGTTGAGATTAGAGGCGAAATTGTCGTCGTTTTCGGTGAGGATCTGCTCGAAGTTCAGCAACTTTTCCACCAGATCTTCGTCCTGACACTCGGCGTTGTTGTCCTCAAACGATTGGTCAGAGCATCGGGTGTCTGACGGCTGAGCGTCGGTTCGATGATCACCGCCGGAACCGTTCACTTCTAGCGACTGTTTGTTGAGTATAGAGTTAATGGTTCTCTCGATTTGCTCCAAATTGCGAAGACTATTGTCGATGAAGTTGTCCTCCGATGTGGAGGAATGCGAGTCTATATCGTCGTCGATGTCCTCGTATTCATCCGATATGTCCGCACCGGACGACAGGCGCCGATTCACCGACGATATGTTGGCCAGCGATTGGTTGAATGTATTGGCGTTATCTATGGCTAGCGATGACGGCGTGGAAGCGGTGGTAGATATCTGTGCGATGGCTGCGGTCGGGAGTACAGGTGTGGGCCCACTCATGTGTCCGGGCATCGCGTACTTGGGAACCGACGAACTGATCAATTGTTTGCGATTCTTATGGCTGATGATCTCGTAGGCGAAGAAGTGCTTCTCGCAGACAGTTCTGTACCGCAATTGACGCAAATTGTGGCCAAATATCTCCCGTATCTTATGGTTGGCACTGTTTTTCACCCATTGTTCGCATCTGCAAAGTGAGGAGAGATAAAGACATCAGTGGATCAGTTAAAGTGATTGACGCATAAGTTTTGCATTAAATAATTAGTTTAAAACTAATTTAACTCTCTCTCTCTCTCTCTCTCTCTCTCTCTCTGATATAATTAATACACTATAAAGTATGTAAACCGTATATAATGAACAAACTAGTGTACTATGAATGAACTAGGTGCAACAACAACTATGGCCGACTCCCGATAGTGTGAACAACTGAATATAACAGTTGGTGTACAACAAAAACAACACATGTGTGTACACTATACACACATTTCAATTAAACAGCACTTATTGTTGATTATATGGGAGTACAGTATATGTAAAGGCGAGACACAAAAATATGTCAAAAATACATATACACTAAACAATAGGGTTGTTTTTGTTGTTGTTTTTCTAGCTGTTGGTACACTAATCGCACACATATGCCAGCCCTGCCCAACAGTGTACACACCTGTCCCCCACCTCTCATACACTACTGTATAGTGTATTAACAATTAAATACAATTAACATAAGTTTTTGTATACCGTTTGCGATCATTAATAGGGTATCGAAAAAACGATAACTTATTTTCGGTGATTATATTAGACTCGCAGCCACTGAACGAGCATTTAATAGTCGGCATTATTTATCCCGGTATTAATTATGGTGATTATTAACTATTATTATTACGGGTAGCGATGTTTGGTCGGTGGCCAACATCGGGGCTCATTAGCCGATACATTGCGGTAATGCATGTGTTGTGTTGTGTTTGAAATCGCGATCACTTCAAAAGCGATACAACATTTAACTCTCACTCCCAGTACTACTACTACTGGTATTATAACATACAGTACACAGTGTTATGTGTGTTATTGTGTGCTGTTTTGTCTGTACACTATATGCCCGTTCACTGTATGGCATATATTGTATGGTATTATTATACCTGTGCTGTACGCCGGCGCCGACCCAACTGTCCCTTTCTCTCTCTCGCTTTCAGTACACTATTGGTGTTATGTATGCATACATTGTACACAATACCAGCCCTTCATTGTATAAACACATTCACTGTATTATTCATTTATTTCGATTCGCGTACACTGTATGTGCGGTACACACTGTAGGGTATACTGTACTGTACTTTATGCTATGGTGTGTGTTCTGTAGAGTACAGTAGATATACGTTAAACTTCATGGTAAACAGGGAAAGTTTTACAGATTTATACATAAATGTACTGTATACTGTATATCTATTATGCTATATAGATTTATATATGTTATATAATTTTACAATATTCTGTTGTATATATTCCACCCTATTATACAATACAATGCAAAGTATATGTCTATATGTTGTGTACGGTGTGTATAGTGTACAGTGCGTTGACATTATATTTATTATATGCAAATGCTTTGCAAATATAGTATAATGTATTCAATGCGATGATCGTAATAGTATGCGTTCACTAATGATCCGATTGTTCACTATGAAGGAATGGCACAAAACGCTGTTCGGCACAGAATTCCGGCCGAAAAGCGGCCAAAAATGGACAAAATGTGAATATATGTGGCGACCCGTCGGCGGCCGACCGTACCGTTAGTCAGCGTACGGTTGGTATTAGCGAACCGACCGCCGGACCCGACGGTATGGACAAGGATTTCGGTGCCCTTCCGGTCCATAATGTGATTAATAATAATAATGTGTTAAATAGTGTTAATAATTCTGTTGTAAATTTTGTGAATAATCATAACTTGTATAATAAGCCAAATAGTGAACACTCTATACAATCAACCTCTTATGGCGATGGAAAACAAAGTAATTAATAAATTTGCATTTATTTGTCATGTGTTGTCACTCTATTCCCAACCCCTCCCTTCCCGTCGACCCTTTTTTTGTTGCATTACATAACTGTTTATCCATTATTTTAGCCCTAAATTAAACATTAAAATTATTCCTAACTTTTTTTTATTGCCAATAATTTTTGATCACAAAAAATATATGAATTAAAAATGTTTTAACTGTTTGTCTATCTCTTACGTAATATACCATAATGCAATTAACGTAATTAACATAATATAATGAACACCCATTATAGTGAATGCGTACCGGATATATACCTACATGGATATAGTGTATGGCAGCGTAAATGTTAATATCTACTGTATATGCAGATTATGATGGTTATTATTATTTTATATAGTGTAACCGCCATTT